AATTCCCTATTCAGTGGTTAGCTGCACCTTCGTGGTAACAAGCTTGTTTGATGGCCAGATTGGACATGCCAGGCCTTTTAAATAAACCCCATTGCATAACAGGCAAGACATTATCACAATCAAGGTGTGGCAGTTGGTCATGTGAAATGCGACGAGGCTGAATAAATGAACCTGTGCAGCTTTGGTGCCATGATTTCAACCCATTGGTATTCACCTAGGCAATATCATGATTAGGCAAGTAAGGTGTCATTTGATAGCTCTTCTCTTCAATTTTATTGCTATGGCCCTCAAAATGCTGTATGGGATGCCACACAGGTATATTAACCTTTGGAAGTTGGATTACCTTTTTTTTAAACACCCTGCAAAATAGATTTTACGCCACAGCATAATTTGGCTAGCTTTCCTCCAAATGTTTTGCAATAGACGAAAAACATGTATAAACAAAAAATTCTTGGAAGTTAATGCAGTATTTCAGAAATTGCCACGCAGTTTACAGCACAGAATAGGCCTATGTCTTTGCCTTATTTTGCGCTTTCACAGAAAAGCGCAAGGGAACAGAGCTGGTGCCTATATGCAGGCGCCCTCAGGCCCAAAGTCATGTGCTAAAACGATTCTGCTCTCTGCTTCAACATTAGCGCCTTAAGGCTTAAGACCAAATTCACACCACGCAAAGGTACAGTGAAATGTCGAGTCCCATCGCTCAAACCGTGCGTTCGATTACTTCCCCTTGCGCTTACTTCGTGCATCAGCAATTGTGTTTTAACACCCACGTGACATCGTTTGCTTACCAATAAAAGGCAAAAACTCGACGGTAACGAGTTGACGCCATTATGAATACATGTAATTTCAAAATTATCACATGTAGGACCAGATTATCCAACAGGCACTGAAGGTACTGCGTTTATTGGCTGCCAAAATTGGGGACATTCGAACATTTTCAGGGTCAAGGAAACTGCACCACAGATCGTCCTATACGCCCTCTGTGTGTCAGGAAATCTTTGTGTATTTGGAAAATCGGTATGCGTCCATCTGCTTTCATTACACATTTCTGTTTAAAAATGTAGCGATTTTTTTTTGAATTCTGGAAGAAATCTGCTCATTCAAAGTATTTCATCAATGAACCTGATGTCGCTGGATATACTCTATACGCGAACATACAATAATACCTAAAGTGTCCCAGTTGAATCTTTAAGAGCCATTTGGCGGGTCTGTGCACATTGCTTCAAACTTCGTTAGCAAATATAAAATGCGAAATGTGAGATAGATGCGGTGCCTTGTGTGGCGTATGGGGCTTGCAAACAGAGTGCCTACGGCACTCTTGAACTTGCCCGGATCACATACTTACCCGAATGGGCTCTAATTTGAAGTACGTGCACATTGTAAGAAAGACCACAAAGGAAGTGGTCGTTTGTACGCCGGCGCTTTTGGCTAATGTAATCCATGTTGTTGTGTTCAGCCATGGTGAGCCGGATCGAAAGAGGCTGTACGCGCGCATACTTCTGTATTTCGAAACGAGTCAAACGCACGGGTAAGTAAGGGAGAATCGAACGCACTCGAGGCGTCCTACTGTAATTTATTCATTATATGTTTCCCGACGCAGAATTTCCAGTGGCTGCACTTTATCACTTTGATTCTGTGCTTGTGTTTGTGCTTACAGCTGCACACCCTCCACCCCTACCTGCAGAGACCAGAAAAGCCAGAGAGCGGCAGCTCCTCGACAGGAGTCCGAATTTAGCGAACGCTTCTCTGGTAAGCCCCCCGGCAGCTGGTTCCTCCAAAGAAACCGCCTCCCAAACAAGCTCCATTGGTCCGCAGAAACAAGTCTCTCCACCTGGTCGAGCGAGTCTCGAATACGAGGTTGTCGTGTCTCACTACAACGAGCCGCTCGATTGGTTGAAGCCGTGCGCAGAGCAAGCAGGTCACGTGTACCATAAAGGATCAGACAGGGGTCCACCCTTCGACATGTACAAGTGGGAAAGGTTACCCAACGTGGGCCGAGAAGCCCACACCTATTTGTACCACATTTTGCAAAATTACGACAGCCTCGCTGAAGTGACCGTTTTTCTACAAGGGCATGGGAGCCAACCGCATATTACCTGGTGCTTTGCCGATCCCGCAGAATTCGTTGCCATGGCCAAGAAAAACATCTTCTGCAAAAAGCACGGTTCCTACGGCAACTGGGGCCGAATAAACCACTTTGGCAAATGGCTGAAGGACCTAAAGGCGGGGAGCATGCGGCGGGCCAAGTCCACCGTGGGCGAATTCTACACCGCCTTGTTTGGTACCCGACCTCCAAGAGCAGTTCCCGCCTGTTATGCGGGATGCTTCTCAGCCTCCAGAGCAAATCTCCAACGGCATCCCAAGACCTTCTACCAAAAAGCTCTTTCTTTTGTGAATGACCATAGCAATCCAGAAGAGGGTCACTACTTTGAGAGGCTCTGGGCTGCCATAATAAATATGCACTAATTACCAGCTGTGTGGTACTTTAAAAAAGCAAAACTGACGAAGTGACATCTGGCACTCAAGAGCGGAACTATAAAGTCCTTGAATTATCATTATTCATTGTTTGAGGATACACACATTTTTGTGCCTTAGATTTTTATGTTTGTTCGTATGCTGTGTATATATTCTTGTTGCATTGCATTCGCTGTTCTCGGGCGCTTTTGTTTCCGTGCCGAATGAAACAAAAGTAAGTGAAGAGGGAAAAATAACATTTGGAACAGTTTGTTCCGTATTATTTGTTGCTGTATATTGAGGATGTAGAAATAAAAATGAACATAGTGAGTTCCAGAGACATGCAGTATTGGCTCTTTTGGCACACCCATGACTATTAAGGTAGCCTAAACCGGATTTGCGTATAGTACGCAGGATAACACGACATATTCGTGTACTCACCTTTTTTAGTTTGTTTCTGCATTCAGTTGGGGACCCTGAACAATAGAGGACAATAAGGTCCCCGATTGACAGAGGGTCCCTGATTGACAACTGTGTACAAAACATATGGGTGGTCTTCTAAAAAAGTTAAAGTACAAACAAAAGAGGAACAAAAGGGGGTTCCCAGTAGCAGGCAAATACACACTTGTGTGGTCGTTTTTACCCAAATAGGCACGGACGTCTATAATAAAATCTGGACTCGCAATGCCCTTAATCAGCTTATAGAGATGATTGAATCCACTCGCGGCCATTTTACCGGGCTGAATACAAAGCTTTCCTGGCAATGCCCGCCTTTGTTCTTCCTGACGTCAATAGAAGGGAGCCAACCCACGCATTTGTATTCGGCTCGGTAAAATGGCCGCTGGTTGGCTCCTCTTTCATACAGAGGCGTTGCAAGCCCAGGTTTTTTATATACGTCCGTGTATCTAAGGTCCTACAGCAACAAACATGAAGAATGTTCTCTTCCTACTTTCTATCTTTTTTACTTTACTTTGTTTAACTGATTTTGAGAGCACCGCCCCTCTGGAATTGCACCCCAGTCCTCAACACGTTGTATAGTAAAACCATACCCGTCTATAACAACTGATTTGGAACTATAATGTAAGTATTGGTAATGATATTGGACCGATTCCACTGTTTTGTGTGTATATATTTGTAAGTGTTGTTTGTGTGTATATTTTGGGTAAAATGCAAGTATTGTGTAGATGCTCATCATGCATCAACGGGTTTTATTTCCAATTTATTGAAGCAATACATTGGTGACGGTCTTTCATTTACATGTTGCCATCTGTTTCTGACTGACTTGCTACCAGCAACTTGTCTTCTGGAATTTAGCATGATAATGCTCGGCGCGTGCACTGTTGGCACGTAATCAGAAAGCAGCACCGTGGAACAGCCATTGACGTTTTCGTGGCGTAGCGGAACGGTCATGCTGGAGCAAATTTCACAAAGTGCCATCGAAGATAGCCTAAATTACCAAAGACAATATCAACTGGGCGTTTAAAGATTGGGTCATACTCGGTGCGAACGCGAAATTGTGACTTCAGATCAAATATTCGTCACAGCGAATTTGCAAACGTTGACCACATTTCACCTCGATAGAAATTTTGCTGCATTTTTTAATGTCAAATTCTCTTCGTTTTCGCATTCGCTTGTACAGTCATTTGTAAAAGTTTAGGACCACCCAATACAAAATGCAAAACCTAAAGAGAAACCAAACTTAAACCAATCAATCATGGCAACTACATCTCCGTAATTTGAAATATGTTAAGAGTCTAATATTAAGTGTGCCTTCCTTATTCCTGATCACGCAGACTGGCTTTTTTTTTACTCATGCTGCCTCACAGACAAAATGCCATTCAAGACCTACCTTTGCCAAAAAAATTCTTTCAAATTCGTATATAGCACTACACTGATTTTATGCACCACTGTAAAAACATGTGGTGTAATCATTCAATGAGACAATGTAATGCAAGCCCAGTGACAGAAATACCAATAAAATTCCAGTTGGTCTTAAACCTTTGCAAATGCTGTATATACTAATAGCCGATCTTCGGTCCTTGCGAATATTTCACTGCAGGTGAATCAACCGTTGGCTTAGTCTTACTCTAAACGTGTGAGCGTATGCCTTGAAGTCGAAAAGCACAAGAGGAAGACATGAATCTGGATCATAATAAACGTATCTGTGTTTGCTTTTTAATAGTATTTACAAAGAAACGTGACCACAAATTTTTTATTTACATGTGTTAATTCCTTAGATATGTCATCCATTTTGAACTCATTAGTGTATTCGTTACCAATTTTGTCACAAGTTGTGACTTTGCAGATTTGGAAAGGCTCAAAAGTCCCATGTTCAGTAATCTGCAGAGATATTTTGTAATGGATAAAGTTTAATAAACTCTCTTCCTTGAGAAAAGGAAGTAAAACATGTTACTTCTTTGTTGTGGCGCTTTCTCTCCAGAGTAGAATTTCACCAGCCGGCTCTTCCTCCTCGATGTGCACAAAACAAGGGAAAACAATCGAACAATGACAGCTCTTTCGAAATTATCTGTTATCATTCTCAACAGTATCTTACCGATCACGAGAGCCCCATGTTGATGCAAAATGGCAGAACGAGGATTCACCCGGCAACCAACGAGCAAACTCAAGGAGTAATCCCGTCCTGCCGAGGCCTACCGCGAACCCGAACGATAATTTCTCTAGAGGTAAGAAGGGATACGTGGCTTGCAGCCTTTTAATTGACGAAATCCTACGTAAACAGAGACGTGTTGTCATTCCATGCAGGCATAAAATAAAGCAGAGACACGGATGGGAAAAACAGTTTTTCTCGTTTTCCAACTGATAAGAATTTCGTGCACCAGTTGTGGTTTTCCGATTGGTTTAAGAAGTACTTCATTAAGCATGCCGTGAGAGTTAAAAGCCGTGAGAACCCTTCCACCTTTTGTCTCGTATCGTTATCAACAGACACTCAGCGCTCACGAGCGTCCGATGTTGCCGTAAAAAAGAGCAAAAGAAAGGCAGAAAAGGTGAAGTCGGTCCACTTTCTACAGGACGTCACAACCTATCTCGACGAATTGGAGCCTAATGCGAATCGGTATGTAGGTGATGCTTCTCCCGAATACATTCACTCTGGGAAATCAAAACTCCATCCTGCCAATCCTCGAGGAAGCACAGTGAAAACACGCCGGCAGCCTTCAGAGTACGAGATTGTGGTGTCTCACTACAACGAGCCACTTGATTGGTTGAAACCGTACGCTGAACAAGCGGGTCACGTGTACCATAAAGGATTGGACAAAGGTCCACCTTTCGACATGTACAAGTGGGAAAAGTTACCCAACGTGGGCCGGGAAGCCCATACCTATCTTCACCACATCATAGAAAATTACTACAGTCTCGCCGACGTGACCGTTTTCCTGCAAGGCCATGGGCCCAGCCTGGACCAAACCTGGTGTTTCGCTGATCCCATGGAGTTCGTCTCGAAAGCCAAGAAGAATATTTTCTGCAAAAGGCAGGGCAGTTTCTCCGGCTGGGATCGCATCAACCACTTCGGCAAGTGGCTGAAGGCCTTGGGCTCTGGGGAAATGCGTCCTGCTGACTTGACCGTGAGCGAATTCTACACCGCCTTGTTTGGTTCCCAACCTCCCCTGGCAGTGCCCAGGTGTTTTGCCGGTTGCTTCTCTGCTACCAGGGAGAATCTTCAACGGCACCCGCTGAAATTTTACCAGAGGGCCATTTCATTCGTAAATAATCACAGCAATCCGGAAGAGGCCCACTACTTCGAACGACTTTGGGCTGCCATCATCAACGTGAAGTGATCCATCCCACGATCGTTGCTATTAAAAGCTTCGAGCTACAGAAAGGTTTTCGTCAAGACTTTTGCCGTTAAATTAATGCATCATTTTCAAATCAAACAAAACTTTTGACACACTCTAAAAGGTCGACAGTTGGGTATCTTTTGGGTAAATAATTGGCAGAATTTGAACGTGTTTCAATATATTGATTCATTGAATATCTAAGGGAGGATTTGGATATAAGTAAAGTTGCCAGTTTATACTTTCGTATGATTACAACTTGTTTTTACAAGGCGGGCACCATAGAGAGCCATATCTTGTGCAAGAAACTGTTACTAACTATGATCATGTAAAACAAGAACATTATTCCAAATATTAAATGGTGATAAAATTTAAACATGGAAAAAACACAACTTAACTTGACCCGGTGTCACAGTTTTCTTTCAAAAGCAGTGCAATATTGACTTCACCCTACACATGGAAATTTAAACAGTATTAAACAAACGTGCAGGCTTTTATTTCCATTCAGTGGCAAGAAAAGGGGTAAAATACAGTTCAACCTGTTTTTGTGACGCTGTGAATTGAGAAGTTGTCGCTGGTCACTTCTCTGTTCATTTGAACTACACGGAGTACCAAGGGTGTATTTTTGGGGATGATGATATTGGGGAAAAATGATTTTCTAACTATCTTTATCTTTTACCTACCCGTCAGCCTGTAAAAAAAGTGTGCAGTACCATTTCTAAAGCGTCGGTGTGTTCATTTGGAAATAAATGCCTTGTTAGTCAACTTAGTAGTAGATAAGCAGAAATTTAAGTACATGAAGGTCGAAGTTTTAAAAGTAACATGCACATTGAAAGGCAATTCCTTGAACTTTTTGACTTGATTGAGAAGCAGTAGTCCTTGGTTTTGATAACGTCACGCTTTGTTAATGTTTACGCTTCCCACCTGACTCCTATTGGAAAGCATGCGTTGAAGCCAGGGGTTACGCCATTCATTCTATCACATTGAAAAGGTGAACTTACTCGTTGGAACCAAACTCTCTGTAGATTTCTATACATTTTTGGATAATTTATGCTGTTCCTAGATGAGTACAGGCGGAGATTATTTTAACAATTATGGCAGATACATGTATTTATTACGTTCACTTCAATATATTTATTATAATACTTTTATAAGTTGGCATAATTTTACGGCATTCATCAATGGTATAAAGCTATTTGATATATTTTTATCACATTTAATAATTATTGTTACAATTAATTCACTTCTTGCCGGTTTGTGAAATACAAGTATTCTTCCTTTAAGTTTTAATGGACATATCGATTTTTCTAAACGTGCCGCTCCGATTGCCAAGGAAAGAGTAAAGACGTGGCCTTGAATGATTGCAAATACGTAGGAAACAGCTGAAAGTTTCGAGTTGCAGTTCTTGAAGCTGGTATCGGACATTCCTCCATAGACCCATCCAGAAAGTTACGACCCAACGCCTTTCGGGTCATATTTAACGTGCGTGCACGCGTTTATAGCGCGTGGCTGGCACCTGCATGCATGGCACCGGGGGAAGGGGGACGTAAATTGTCGGCGAGTCTGGATACCAGACCAGATGATTCTGACGTCGAAACAAGGATCCGGTATCACCCACTGTCCACAATACCCAAACCAGAGGAATTCCTCCATTTTCCGAATATAGCCGAAATATTCCGAACATGTCCTATCGACATTCTGATAGCATTTGTCGATGTTTGGATATTTATGGCCATGTATGTACGCATATACATTTCTTTTGCTTTTTGCCCACATGCAACACAATGTTGTTCCCTTTCTAAGGTTTTTTTTTTAGTTTTACATGTTTTCGAAGTGACCGCCAACATTAACAGCCTGCATGTACATCTAAAAATAGGATCTCGACCCTTGTGTCCGTTGACATGTTGCGCCATGATCTATTTATATCCGTGGGTGATATCTGATCTAGGATTTTATCAAGAGTCGTCAGGGAACCTTTAATCAGGGAACCAGATTAATTATCTACTTGCGCAGAGGTTGGTGCTTGCTGGATCTGTCTTTTGCCAAGTGGGGATTTGTGTACTTTTCAGGTTTCCAAACTGCACCATTGTGTTTAATGGTAACAATTATTGAGGCTCACAAATGAGTTTGAAGCGTCTTGGGGGAGAATTACAAACCTGATTATTGAAACTGAAACCATCCTGTGGCTTATATTGATTGAACATTTGCAGTGACGATGCAGGTTTTATTATAATTAATAACTAAAAGGTGACATGTTTATGTTTGATGTTTATTACGGAAGTTCTAAGAGGAATCTTGAATTTGGAGTTTAGACATTGGTTGAGGAAATTGCAGATACGGCTAACTGTCTGTGTATTCTTGCTGCCGTTGAAAGACTGTAGTTGAAAAAAAAAGAGGGCAAAACGGGCCCTACATGCACAGAATGAGACCTTGGGTTTATAAATTTGGACATAATAAACAACAAGAAGCATTGTTTTAAAGTACCTCCAGCGCTGTGGACTTAATATGCTATCACCGGTGGTAGACCTATAAGGATAGATTTTGGGCGACGCTTGAATGCCAAAGTGAATACGCCACGCGCACAATGATGTCTTAAGGCATTAGTCTGAGAACCAGTGCGCAAACCAATTTTCGCACGAAGTCCATTTGTTTGCACTGCACTTTCTGGTGCACAGACGCCACTCTTCGCACTGTATACGCCTAATGGTTTCTCGACAACCGTATCGTTTTTCACATTACAAATGGAAATTAATGCGTCATACTCGCCCAAGCCAGTGCGCGCATGCGCATACGAAAGTTTCTCGTGAGCCTGAGGTGACAGCAGGTCGTAACTTGCTCCTCATACTTGGCTTCGGCTTATGCTGAGATAACATACCTTTTCTGGGTTAAATTTGAATTTAATGTGGTACACTGAGTTCTTAAATTCACATGAACATAATTTGAATTCTTCATACTAAGGACACTGTTGGTATACCACGTGATTCGGGGTGAGCTTTTGCTTAGCTACAGAAGAGACGATTTGCAGCAATTTCGCACACTGTTTTCAATGGATAAGAAGTGCACAAAGGAACCAGTCCATTCCAGAAATAATTGTCGCTGTGCAAAAGGCTTGGCCCGAATCAGAAGACATAGCAACAGTGTCTTTAGTCTGGAGAAATTTAAGTTGTGAGAGACTTAAGCCAAATTTAAAGAAATGATTTACAGGCTCCCCTTCGGATGCACCATTGTGGTGGAAGGAAACTGCCGGTATTCCCCATTGCTATGTTATGCACATCTTATGCACTAGTCATCATATTTTAAGAAAGTTTTTCTTAAGTCACTTAATGGGACAAGGCAAGTGGACAATTTTGTCCAATAGTTGGTTGAACGAAAATAACGAAAATGTTTCCTTATGAATAAAAAATGGAAGGAATTATTATTCCTATTATTATTATCTGTCGAGTGTGCCTCTATGGATATTGGTATATGTAGAGTGTGCATGGAAACATTCCTAAACCATCTTAGTAATGACTAGGTTTCGCATTTGGCTTGAGGAGAGATGGTGCACACGTTGTGAGTATCAATTTTCCGTGGAGTTACTAGTTGGGGGAGTTTCGACAACTCCTACAGTGTTCTGGGTGCCACACGTACCCGTCAGGCATATTGACAGTTTCCACCATTTGCCTGTCTTTCTTACAGTTACGTTCCGTCAATTCAAACTGACTGACAAGAAAGCCCAGCCTGCGCCAGATCAGTCCAAGTCAAATCTGCGTCCGAGCCAAGCAAGGGCCGCCTCCATCGATGCCCCATTGCGCTCCTCCGGGGAGAAGGTTGTCGGCCGGATCCCCGTCCCGCCAACGAAAACAAACAAGGAGCCCCGAGGGCAGCAGATGGAGTACGAGGTTGTCGTCTCCCACTACAACGAGCCACTTGATTGGCTGAGACCTTACGCCACCAAGGCCGGCCACGTGTACCACAAAGGACAACAGAGTGGTCCCCCTTTTGATATGTACAAGTGGGAAAGGCTGCCCAACGTCGGCCGAGAGTCCCACACGTACCTTCACCACATTTTGCAAAATTATAACAGTCTCGCAGACGTAACTATTTTCGTGCAGGGGCACGGCCCAGAAAATCCCTGGTGTTTTCGCGACCCTCAGGAATTTGTCACGAACGCCAAGAACAACATCTTTTGCAGAAAGCAAGGCACCTATGGAGGGTGGGGTCGCATCAACCACTTTGGCAAGTGGCTTGCGGATTTGAACTCGGGGAGAATGCGACGGGCAAAGACGACTGTGGGCGAATTCTACACTGCCTTGTTTGGTACCCCACCCCCTCCAGCCGTGCCCAGGTGTTTGGCCGGCTGTTTTGCTGCTACTAAAGAAACCCTCCACAGGCACCCACTGAGTTTTTACCAAAAGGCTATTTCTTTTGTAAATGATCACCCGAACCCAGAAGAGGGTCATTATTTTGAAAGACTGTGGGCAACCATCGTTAATACCAAATGATACTGTCTCTCAGGTTAGAAATGTCGGTGGAACCGATAACCTGAACCACAGGCGTCTTCCATTCTCTTTAATTCTTTTACTATTATTGTTTGAGCGGCCACTCCAGTTAAAAAAAGAGTAGACCCAAGTATCCATGGAGAGATAGACAAGGTCGTATATACCGATCACCCGAGCTCTGCAAAATCAAAAAGTGGGAAGTTGTCGCTTTGACACCATTCATATTATTTATTATTATTATGTATTATTTTCTGGGGGACACTTTTTTGGGGTGGAAAGTATCTGCTCTTCTGCAGGTTTCCATGACAGAAAGGGGAAGCTGTTGAAAAGGGCACCTATGAGGGAGAGTACTCGTTGAAGGGGAAGGGGTTACTCCTCCGTTTACCATCTGGGATTCGGGAGGTTGGAGAAATGAGCCGTTTATATTGGGATACTTTCTCCAGTGCAACCAAACTGAAACATCTATTTAAGAGTGATCTTTTCGGTTGTGGTCGAAAGTTTACCTACTGTCGTACTTACAATGTTTAATTACAATTTTTTTAAACACTGTCAATACTTGTTATCCGTTGTTATGTGACCAATCTTCCAGTTCACTCTCTATTTTTCATGTGATCTGAAAAAACAAAGCTTTTAAGCACGGTAGATATTCTGACTCATAAGCTATGGTAAAAGAATGCACGACTGCTTGGAACAGTATATTGATAATTAAACGCTTACACTCCAAGCGTATGTAAACTTTACGACTACAGCTGTAAGGGTGTATTGATCAAATACGCCTTTTGCAAGTTAAATTTGAATAAAATCTGGTACACTGTGTTCTTTAATTTCACGTGAACATAACTATTTGAAATCTTCATACTAATAACCACTGTTGATATACCTCATGATTCCGGGTAAGCTTTTGCTTAGTTATATAAGAGACGGCTTGCAACAATACATTGTTTCTTACTGGGTAAGAAGGGCACAGAGGAACCAGTCCATTCCAGAGATAGTGTTTGCTATGCTAAAGCTTGCCCCAAATGGCAAGGTGTACATGTAACAAAAGTGTTTTTAGTCTGGGGAATTCAAATCGTTATGTTTATGCGCAATCAGAGAACTCAGCGTACCAGATTTTATTCACAAATATTCTCGCAAATGGCTTATTGCAGCATAGTTTATGAGACAGGGTCTGATTTCGGCCTCTAAGCAGACAATTTTGCTAAGTCTATTCAAGTGCCAACTTAGAAGTTGCCCAGTCACTTTCAATAATTGGGATAGCGTGACGTTGTTTTTGTTGTAAATGGTCGTAATATTGTGTTATTTGCCGGGGTGGTGGTTGCAATGCTTTTCCTGTTCTGCTGATGTCGTTGTTATTCTTGCTGTTTCATCGCTGTACAATAGGGTGTAGTGAATTTCAAAAAAGTTTGAATTTTAAGTTCTAAATAGGCTAGAATGATGTTCTGGCGATGTCTAAGACCTACCATATAAAAAAAAAATCAAAAATACTTCGCTCAACCCGACTTAAATCAGAACTATGGGCAAATGAGCCCCTGAGTATAGTGAATTTAGGCACAGTTGAAGATTTCTAGCCCTGAAATTCCATGAAGCCATTTTTTGATTGAAAAAATAATCCTCTATTTACTTAATCTGGCCTACAGGGATTCCAAACAATGCGGTTGCAACATTTGAAAAGAACAGACAGAGTATGGAAGAGCAAAACAAGTGAATGTATTTTGGGAGCACATATAAACAAAAGTTACACGCAATGTAAGCTTGAGTTGCGCGTAATGCGCACTGAACGCGCTGCCATCTACCGTTTCGCCCATTGTTTGACCATTGGCTACTTTCCAAAATCATGGTTATGCGCGCACGACTGGCTGTCTATGCGTTCAAATGTCAGTGAGTCAGTACTACTACAAAAAAAGCCCTCTTTTTCCGCTTGGAGCGGATAGATAGTGTTTTACTGAGCAGTTATTGTGATCCCTGCCCCGTAACTCTGTTTTCATCTTGGAGGGATAATAAAGCAATAAAATATTGGTTTCTAATCCTTGCTAGTCCGTGCAGATTTTCAGGAGCATGCCTGTCGACATGAAATGGGCATGTTGAAGGGTGATTGTTGTCACACTAGACTCCCGTGACATGTTTGTTGACAAGCTCCGTATGATACAACGTACGTGTCCCTGGACATTGCCATCATGATGTACCCCAATCAAACAGCATGGTCCTTCACCAACTCTGCGACCATATGAGCCCGACGTATCCCGCTTTTCATCATTTTAAACCTTTGCGAACTGACCCAACTATCATTGGGACCTCTACTGAGCAATGACTTCAATAACAATAGGAATCGGTTTTAGACACTTCGTGGTGGCAAACTTGCCATCACTATCCTTCAGCTTGATGCGCGCATGCATTTGGCAAATCACGACACTCCGTTAGTGGAAGAAACGAAAAACGCTCGCGTTTTGATTCTGATAGTCAAATTACACTGTAATTAAACAGACCTACTTAAGATGTTATGAGGCATAAAGAACATCACCTTTTGTTCAACACTTTAAGCAGCGCCGACATAATATTTACCACATTAGCCCTACATCTGCCAGATAAAAGGTCTCATTATTTTGGGTCTGGCGGGGGGGGGTGGAAATCTAGTGCCATCTAGTACATGTATATAGTTTCACAAAGTGACAGATTTTATCAAAGATCGTTTTTTGAAATATTATTTTCCATCTTCGATCATGTTTGTTATGAAATATATTTTTCCAAGTTAATTTCCAAGAGACGTATTTTCATGCTTAAAGCTCTTTTCTTACAAAACAAACCCCAAAAATATTACTCATATACATGTATAACAAACTAAAATGTATCTCAACCAACGGAGTTGAAAATGATATATCTCCCTTAACTTGTTTCCAAAACATGTTCTCTAAATATAGGTCTCATAAGAAAGAACTAGAGAAAAAAATATGTCCCGAACAAACGAACTTTGAAAACCGTATAATTCGGAAAAACAAATTTGGAAAAAAATCTCCTCAAAACGGACTTCGGAAAAACTTACTCCACTTTTTGAAATAGAAAAAGCCTTATACCACACACCACATTGTGAAAGACTCATTCACCAGGATGGACCAGAACTCTCATCAAGTTCAGAGAAAGCCGTATCTTTCAGAAAAAAATTGCCATTTAAAAATAGAGAGAGGACACTGAAGATTCTAGCCAAGTGTTACTTGCTACGACAACGGTCAGCTCCAAAGACCAGATCAGTGGTTCTAAAGCTCGTTTGGATGATGAAATAAAAAATGTGAATTTTTGGTGCACAATTTTGCACTTTGTTTAAAACCATAAAAATAGACGGCATAAAGACCACCTAGTGATTGGTTGGATTTGGCAGGCATGGCAAGTTGCATACAGATATTTCATCGGGCTGAGGTTGATTTCGACGTCACCTCGTGCCAGCAAAACGAAATGAAATGCACGAAGGACTCCAGAATGCCTGCCGAATGTCTGCATTTGATTATAGGTAGCACTGGGTGCAAAGTTGAGCACGTTAAATCTCACCAAACCTGGCATCGGCTTGTGCCAGGGTCTGTGCAGCTTATTTTATCGCATGATGATGTACGACTAACCTTACCGAGGCCGTGTCCTGAATCAGCCGGCCGCCGCAGCGAGTAATGCACATGTCCATGGCAAAATGTAATGTACATTTCAACTATTAGCCAGGGAAGTCAACAGGCAAACATGCTATCTCCGGCCGCAGATTCAACTTGCATCCACGGTCGGTCTCTCGTCAACAACGACGACAACAACAAATATCAACAGTGGTGGAACGATTTTTAAATTTGGAGGGGGCACTTGTGAGACAGTGAGTCATCATCCATAATGTACTGATGAATTAATGCCAACCCATTGTGTTCTAGCCACGAGTTGGGGGCATGACCTCAGTTGAAAATGTCGGTGGGGGGGGGTATCCCCGACCCGGTTCCAACGTCATCCAGAGAAAGGCTAACGTTTTGATATTTTGATCTTTTTCATAACGCCCCCCTTTTCACTAAGAGTTACTTCTACGAAAGCCCGTTAGTGCCAACATTTTTTAATTCAGTTTGTTTTTCAATTTTTTATTTTTTTAAAAATTAATTCTTTTGTTTTTTGTTTTCATGATTTTTCTTTTCTTTGAAACTTAACGAAACGAAGGTTTGGTTCAAGGGGGGCAATTGTAATTTCAATCAGTTTCCATAAAAAGTTTTAAAATGCCAAAGAAAAAGTTACTAAAAATAGACTGCGTAGCCTTTGTGAAACCACGGACCAAGAAGCGGGCTTCTGCTGTGACGTGAAATCGTTATAGTACATTATGGACATGAGGAACGGCAATTTCCGCGTACCAAACCTTCGATTCGTAAAGTCTCCCCCAAACAAATAAAAAAACCCTCCCAAATGAATAAATAGATAAATAAGAAAATAAATTAAAAAAAATCGGCACTTACAGGCCTTCGTACAATTCTTCCACAAACTATATATTTTTTTTATTTCTGTTTTTGGGCAATGTCAACTAGTCTATGCGAAGCTTACAATTTGGTGCAATCATTTTTACCAAGTCTACTGAATCAGCCCAATGGCAACGATCTATCTCAGGCAAAATTCAGCTTTACCGCATTTTACGTTTTGGCAAAGAGGAGTGTTTAGCAAAAGGGGTTTGGTCGTTTTCCCAAAGAGGCAAATTTGACTCCGTAAATAAAAATATTGCACTTGCATGCACTACAGCAAAATAAAACGGTTTTCACGATTAGAAAAAAAAATTGTTACAGATTTTAGAGTTTTCATGAATAGGCGAACGTTTTTGTTTACACGATAAACAAACCTTAACTGACTTCTATAAACATTAATTTGTAATTTTTATTTTTTCAAGATCCCCTCCTCTCAGTAGCACTGTTGAAGTAAAAGGGGGGGTAGCGTTTGAAAAAGAGACGAACTTCAAACGCGATTTTTTAGAAATTTTGAAATTTTACTTCTTCGTGAAAAAGGTGACGGTGCTATCCACTTTTGACACCATTTTTAATGTTTTATTACGGCCACCTGTGTGGGTGCTTTGTTTACGTGCTTAATTAAGTGCTTAATTAATTAAGTGCTTACCAACACTGTTGCGCTGTATCGTATTGATTTGTACCTGTTAACGACTTTGTTAGATTCTATTGTTCAATTTCACGGTAATATGCCACGTCGTATAATATCGATTCACCACCCCATTAAATTTGATTGTAAATGTCATGGCAACATTTTGGTCAAAAAGAAATTGCAGGGAAATCTATTTAGCTGCAAAGTTAATTGAAGCCCCGCCGAAACTGTAAACGTGAACAGAAGAGAGAGAAAAAAAGTTTGTGCCAACGATGCCTGTTTTGGTCTCTTTCCTGCTTGGCTTTATTGGCTGATAATGACGTCATCTCGTTCGACTCCTGCGCAGCGGCTAAGACGAGTTGTTGAGGTTGGTGTACGCAATGATTTAATTACTTTAGCGACTGCACGGGTTCCTGGCGTTCATTGCGGCCGAGAGAATGGACGCCACTGCGGCATGGATTGTGATGTTTTCAGCACTGACAGGTAGGCCTATGTTTTGAATTGTTGTAGACCCACATTGATACACCAATCAGAAAAAATAAGACAGACAGATTTGTCCATTCTGTACAATATGGAGAATGCAATCCATTCTAGGATATCACATCTGTACATGGAAAACTAATATACGAAGAAAAAAGAAAGAAAGAAAAAAAGAAAAAAAAACTTGTCCAATTCAGCATACAACGAAGTGAACACTATAAAGGACGCAGGATCCATAGAGCTACCTAAAATGTCCAGGGTAAAGTATTTTTCAAATGAGGTTAAGGGTCACCCCGAAGCCGTATTTTATGTAACACCATCTCGTTCTTTGTTCCAAACCAAATGCATTGTCTTTTCTGAATGTACCCTCTTTTTCGCGTAATCTCTATTTTTGAGGGCATGTATACGAATAAATAAAACATTAAAAAAATATCAACTTATAGACGCAGTGTGTTGTACACTGTGCATTCATTTGGCATAAACGTACTCTCTCATAACTGTGTAAATTAGAGCCAGTTAGTGCCTCCTTTGATTGAACTCGAAATCTGTAGATTTACTGAGCTCAACAAATCTACCTGCCAACTAAACTTTTAGTGTGTAAATCAAGTAGTCACATGGCCTAGATTTGGAGTACAAATGCCCTTTTACCCAACTTTGCCCTCAAAAAGTTATATGCTAAACATTAAGCAGCTTTGAAATTAATAAATGCAACCTGTAAAAAAAAAATCTTTAAAATTCTTGAGTTTTAGTCCGTGTATAATTAAAAACTGAGATTTGCGTAAAACACATTTCCTTATAATCCCGGCTGGTGCCCGCGTATATCATCATTACCGGAGCTTTTTTACATTTAGAATGGTCCCATTGCAATCAATCTGAATAAGTAGGCATAACAAGAAATGTCCATTTTTTTTTACTGATTTAAACTGAATATTTTAAACACAAACTGGCAAACAAACCCAAGTGTGTGTTCGGGTCGCTCATTACCAAAGTGTGCGTGCACAACATTTGTGGTTAACAACAGCATAGCAACAGGCTGTGTCTGATATCGAGCGCTTTGATGGTGAAATTAGGCGGCGTCTTCGTTGATGAGTTTTCGAAATTGGAGCCAAAATAATGAAGTGAATGAATCCAAATTTCGTGAGGTGATGCATATTTTATTAGATTGATTCCATGTCCTTCATTTAAGAAACGTACTGAAAGATCCGGGTTTCAAAGGGCAAAGTTAACATTTTGCTACTTCAAGAAAGTGATATTGATCATTTTGTACTTTCAAACGAATTTTCACTGTCATGAAAAATATGAAAAAAAACCCAATGTTTACTTACAGGTTTTGCCCCTTCGTAAGGGCAAACCTCGTTATTACAAATTAGCATCTAAAATTCGTCACAAATATATTCAGAATAATTTTATGTGGAAATAAAACGGTATGGGGAACCTATGATAAGAATAAGGATCATCTTTGTCGGATTGAATTCCAACTTTTCAAGCCATTTCTCCACACGTCGAATATCCCAACGGTCTAGCAGGTCACATTTTGTACCTGTCATCGGTTTTAAATGTATGGTACGGTTGCTATGTGATGCGACTAAATGATTTTAGTTTGTGTTTGCGTTGGGGGGGGCAAAATCTGCCCCCCCCCAGTCTCGGCCATACGACGATGTATTTCAATGAAATTTGGAGTACTATAGAGGCAAACATACCAATCATTTGTGTGAAATTATATGTAAATTAATTAAGTTTGTGCATAATTATGACTCATTAATTATTCATGATACCAATACTTTTACCTCATACGTGCTTTGAGCTGTATACAGTGATATGCGCAATTAATTATACAATTAACAGACTTTCCCACAAGCAAGAGACTTCCAGACAAAAGGAAACCACTCTGCCCTTTGTACGATGTACTTCTGTGCACAAAGTCAGTGGTAAATGTCATGTCATACTTCACCCTGCCTCCTAAAATTCTTCACAGAGAGAACACCACGTCCAATTTTCATAAATTTGGGGTCAAAATGAGGCTAATACATTGGAAAAAAAAGTTCTTTTAAAGTATCCGCACGCAGAAATTAATCCCGGAGATGCTCTAAGCAAACATCAACAGGGGGAGACGGATTCTGCCCCCCCTCTGCTCTTTGAGGGTCAAGCCAAAAAACCTTGCACATGAAATAAAGTTTACCAGCTCAAAATATATGTGATTGTCATATTAAGCCGAAAGGCAGATGAATAACATTCCAAATCAATATACATCATATGGCGTTTTCGCTGGCAACCTGATTTTTTAAGCAAGGTTTGTTCACGCTTATTAAATTTTATGCTTAAAGCAGCTCTGTGAGATTGGCCCAAGGCCATGAAAGTCACAGGACCTTCATCCTGATAAGGGGCGTGAACACATTTCTTTCCCTCCCACTAATATCTGGTGCGAAGAAGAAGCGTGCAATGTGGAATTTCGACCTTTGTTCCAGAATTGTGTTCTATATTTACCACCTCGGTAGAGCTTTATTGTCTAAAATTAATGTGCATGATTTGAGAAAATAAAGCTAAAATTGAAAAGTGTATTTGAAAAATGACTTTATAGAAGAAGTGCTCATACTGTTTGGGGGGAACGGTTTTTCAAATTTATGTTTAATTTTTAAAAGGTCATTTTTGACTCATAAAAAGCCAGAGATGTCACATATTTTACTTCAAATCAGTAAAAATGAAGGGTTTCTAGTAAAATTCGTACTGTGGCATCTGACGCATGTGACGCACACGTATGTACACCACGTGTAAGATACAGTGCCAAAAGGTGTAGGCCAACTGTTTTAAGGCGGTACCCCCATTGTAAAATAAACCATCATTATTCGTCTCTGATTCCAAGTGCTCTTGTGTGGGGTAGAGGGTGCGTCGAGGAGGTGTAACTTTGGTTCAAAAACAAAATCTGAATCTGACAAGGGGGATCACTGGATGAAGCAAGCCATGCGAGAGAGATTGCGGCGTTGCCCGGAAAGGATGGTGCTTGGTCCAAATGGTAAGTTACTGTTAAAATGCATGCAAAACGTGTGCTGCCTGACAGACAGGCACAACCACAATGGTTGTTTGCAATGTGTTCAATTATTACACCAGTCCTGCTAAGCTGGTCCTTTTCGTCTAAGTTGAGCCAATTTTGCAGCGCCTCATCTTGGTCAGCTCACAAACATCTAGTTCAAACGGCTGTGCAGCTCGGTACACACCACTGGCCCCGTCCAGCTGTTGTCCCGTCACCTTCACGGACCGTCACGGACTCTTCCACCCACGTATAGCTAAGAAATCTTGGTGAAAATATCCATGACTGTTCACCTTCCTTTTTTTTCAGAGAAGAGGCAACGTCTGGTGGACGTGGGTAAGTCTACAGAACGTCTGTCCTCCCTGCATCGCGTCTACATCTTTTGTTTACGAGTCCACTCTCGGTATAAATTAGCGCACGCATGCTACTGCCTTTGTTTTACTGTCCTTATGACTTACAATGCATGTACATTAGGACTAACGTTCGAAAATTGTCAATATCCGGTTATCTTAATTTTCTGTTACTAATTTGGCAGAGGTCAGGAGCGCAATAATCTCGCGTTTCCCTGTTTGCTTGCAGAAGATGGACCTACCGAGCCAGGACCCACGACAGTCGAGAGTTTAACCCCAATGGGGGACTCGACTACTCCCAAAACACTTACAGAGTCAGAACCTACGACGTTCGAGTGTGCAAAGCCGATGCCATTGGGGACGGAGGACGGGACCATACCAGATGAAAGGTTCTCAGCGTCCAGTAGTTACCCTTCGACCTGTTGCCCTGCCAAGGCTGCACGCCTCAACGGCAATCTACGATGGGCACCCGCGACGTAGGTAGCAAAGGGAGACAACACTTCTGACAGGCCGCACTCGCATCCCAACACCACAAAGAGACCACGGTGTGCTCATGAGCGGCTTGGATAGTAGCCAAACGGACTTAACTCTCTCTCTTAATACCGATTCGTGCAGACCCTATAAGGAAATTTGGTCGTTAGTTTGGAGATTAGGGCGCAACATCTATGACCCAGGCACCACCGACAGTTGACAATAAGAAGAGACGGGGGTTGAGGGCTAGACCTTTTTTTCCCCGGGGAGGTTGTCTGCGCGTATTAAATCACATTTATGGAATTTTTTTTATCATGGTGACCAATCTTGGCGCTGACTTTATGAAGCTACCGCGGCTAATGTGTGGTGAATACGTCGAAGCTTAGGTCTATCTTGAAACGGAGGTCTGTTTCAAAAGCGCTTTTCCGCCAGTCTCTCCAATCGCTGGCGAGTATGCTCGCGTAGTGTTGTTATTTTTTTCCCTGTCCTTTTTTCACCCTGTAGCGACCCCGATTCCTGGATCGAGGTGGACTTGGGTGAGAGTACAGTGGTTTCTGGTGTCATTACACAAGGAGACACGTACAGCAATTTATTCTACGTGACGAATTACAAGGTGGCGTATCAGAAGCAGCCCTCATCTGACCTGTTACACGTGACAGATGGAAATGGAAACATCAAGGTATAGAAATATTGCAACTTGGTCTTGCCAGAAGTTAATAAATGTCTTAAGTAACCAACCTTTATTTCCTTTTTTTCAATAGGATAGACCACAAAGAGCGAACAAAGAATACTAAAAATTTATTATTAAAAATCAAGAAAAGATTACAAACCGAAAAGAGAAAGGCTTCCGTAAGGTAGGCTGTGTAAAACAGGACACATAAAACAAAAGCAAAGTAAGAAAAAAAAACACCCAGAAACCTACGTTTGCAGCGTTGGTACAAATTATAAATACAGAAATGAAATGTGTAACGCGAAATCGAGGCAAAGGTGATATGACCATTGGCAGAAGACAACTTAACAGAACTAGATATTGTACGAATTAGTAGGCAGTATTTGAGAAACCAAATTCGGCGGGTAAGTTGTGTCAAGATGACCTGAAATGGACATGCAGCAACACAGCCCTCATATCTTACACTAGACAAAGAGGTTCCACACTGGTTGGAAATTCTACTGGCTATCAGCGTCGAGTGATTTTTTTTTCGGGAGGGGGGATCAATGGTGTTACTTGAGCTACTTGAAAATTACCAGACTTTTCCGGATATAAAGGATGAGTTCACAAAATCATGTAAAACCACCCCAGCAGTCATGCAGGAATGGGGTTTTGGGGCCAAGAATTTTAATTCGAATCCATGGTAATTTTGCACATTACGTCATGCCACAGCTTCTGAAAAACCCAAGTGAATTTATCAACAATAAAAAGCCCCCCCCCCAAAAAAAAAGGTTTAAATTTTAAGCGTTCCCCAAACATTTATTCTAATGAAATCTTAAGGTCCATCCGATGAATCACTTTAATTTTCTCGTTACTAAAAATGATATAACTGTATTGGAATATATTGAGGAATGCACGGCTCACGTTGAACCTGGCATCATTGACCAATTCATCGAGGGAAGCAAGACTTTTGTTACAATAAAATATAGTGCTTTCATCTGCACATGAAACTAACGATGACATTTTGAAACGTTTCATCATTTAATGTTCATCATGTTTGAAATTTATTTTGAATGTTTGATTTACAAATTTAGTCTTGTATATCAGGTAAAGCCCACATAGTATGGAGCCTAGTTGGAAGTAACAATTCATACTGTATTTGCAGTGAGACCCTTGAGGGCAGTTCATTCTTTCAATGAAAAATGCCTTGGGCCTACACTATTTTAAATCCGTTTTCGTTTCAGATGTTTACTGCGAACACTGACAACACCACCCCGGTCACAAACCTGTTTGATGAGAACGTGTTGGCCACGGTGGTGCGGATTGAGCCTATTGCCTGGAGTGGTGGGGTTCGTCTGCGATTGGAGTTGCTCGGATGTCGCCGTGATTAAATGCTGACAGACCATTTAACATGACATGTTATGACATAGTTACGGGAAAGTAGCATACTGCTTTGACATACAGATGTCAATGATTGTTAGGAGATTGCAATGCGAAAATTTGTCGAGTCTGTTCTGGTCATAAAAAATCAGCTAAGGTCCAGACAATACCTGAAAACATATTATTCTCACTTTGAGTACCAGCCATAAAAGACACAAACTCCTCAAAGTTTGGCACATGCAGTTTCTACGGTAAAACAAAACAAACTTAGTTCTTTTGTTTTTATTAAATCAGTTGCACTGTCATTTTCAGAAGGCGGTGTTGCAACAGTGGGGTAGTCTTTTTAGAAAACAAAAACTGTTCTAAATGGTATAAATTCCTACATGGATATTCTCTGCACTCTCAAACCATTAAATTCGCAAAGAAACTACATGAAAGGGTAGTAAGCTGGTGCCCAACTGATGTCAGTTGGTTTTTAGTTTTTTATTACAAAGGACAGTGCAGCTGACTTTTATTAAGTCAGTTGCACTCTCCTTTTTAAAAGCTGGTGTTGGACCGTGGAGTAGGTATTTTTTGGAAAACGAAAACTATTCCAAATGGTTTTAATTCCTGTGTGGATGTCCTGTGCAACCTTAAACCACAGGACAGGGTAGTAGGCTTGTACCTACTGCTGTCATATCGTTCAGTAACAACCGCATGAAATAGCATTAGACTATACCCTACTCTTCTGTGCCAGGCACAAAATGGGACAGAGGTGTACCCCCCGTCCAAGCCCTATACACACTCAAGCCTATTGTCACTTAGCACATCCCCAATAATGTCTGAAAAGAATTCCTGAGATACCAGTATAACAATAACCAGCACAAAGGCGGGGTGGGGGGTTCTGTCCCATAGTTTGCTCCTCACGTACTCTGCAGCCAAGGCATGTCTGGAATTACCCAGGCAAGTGCCTTCTGGAAAGCCACAAAGCTTCAAAGAGGCTCCGACAGCTTTAAAAGGTCGTCTATTGGTCACAGGCAGGGCCTGGGCAAGCCAGGCAGCCGTTGATGTATACAATCCTTGATGTCTGTCATCTGGCAGATTTTTTTACACATACTCATGGGAATTGGCCAGACCCCGGCTGGAGTATATTGTTTTCTGGCTAAGGGGAAGCCCCTATGTTTAAGGCGACTAAACCAGTCTCTTCATCATGAGAAACAGAGGTAGTAGGATACTACGGGTGGTTTTTACATTTGGCTGTAATTTTTTTTAATCAAGAAATTAGCGAAGATGCTTTCCAAAATGGACGTGGAAGCCCTCTACGCAGAGTTTTTAATAAGTTAATTTAAGCAAGCTTGTAAATATTGCGGAGAGTGTTTAGTTGGATATCGTGATAAAACACGAGTAATGGTAGGGATTCACAGATAATTCCTGGCCTTTTTGGACGTCAGTCTGACTAAATTAAACTTACAAAATCGATTAATTACAAGGTGTTTTTATTTTCATAAAGTTTTAATGCACTGCACATCAGTGCAAAAGAGGAAATTGTACGGTTCGTACACATTTTAATTGGTACAAGTTTATCTGTTAACCAAAATGTATTTGAACTGTTCAATCTTTTCAGTTCTGGTGTTTTCTTTCCTTTTTCAAATTCAACATGATTGAAACATATACAAATATAACACGGTTTGAGCAATAAGCTCCTCGAATTATTGGAACTTGAGAAACTAATATTAATGCGAAGCTGGGGGAACAAGTTGGTCAGTTTCCAATAACGGAGGGAGCTTGGTAATATTCATAATAATGAGAAGATATATTAAAACTGAAGTTATTTATTTTATTTTAAAAAATAATAAAGACTTGTACAGTATGCAGAATGACAATCTGTTATCTACACAATGTCGTTAACGTCGACTGTGCTAGTCAATTACAGTAATCTTCGTAATTATATGAAAGCAGTGAGAAGTAGTTTTTTAATACTATGACAAGGCAGAGGGAAGTAAGCAAAGGCGAAAGATAAAGCCCTGTGGCATATGGGTACAATGCCCTAATGCAAGCCCCATTGGAAACTGTAAAATCAACGGAGTTCGGAGCCCCATTGATTAGGTTGACACTTGGACCCAAATGGTCATGGTGAAACAATTACGCCATCAAGTGCAGTAGATTGGTTGGTCAGAGTAATAAAGGAATGCAAAAAAGCCTTCTGTTCTGTTTTTCTTTTCCTTTTTCAGACTCTTTCCACACAGGGTTTGTACACTTTTTTCCACCAGTCGACTTTAGTAGTTTTATATATCTTATTGACTTAAAACGAGGCAGACCTTCAGACAATTACCCAAGGATGGCCCTAGAATAAATTGATCATGGTGACGTCATCACGTGATTTATTATTGAATTTTAAATATTGAATTTTATCCACAGGTTTCGTGCACTTTTTCTAACGTTAAAGACTGGTTCGTTTGTATTGGGAGCATAGGTAGTTCATTAACCCATGGGGTTGTCAAAATAAACTCGTCAAGGTGACGTCATCAGGGGTCATGTAACATGATATTAAATTTGCAGTTTTTTTCAAGGGTTTTGGACCCTTTGTAACTTCGCACTTGTTTCAATTTTACCACTGGCTCGCCTGGGGACAACTGTGAGAATTTCAGACAAATCAGGGGAAATTGTCAGGGGAAATTGATTTGATCTGTTTTTCCAAAATGATAAAGATGAAAAATGAAAATTCCGAAACAGCCCCGAGGTTTTTACAACCATATCCCATTATATATCCGTCGAAATTGTGTAACTTAATAAAAGATCATGAAGGTGAGACACTGACGTTCACCTACGGCAAATAAATTAGAGACAAGGCTATACGCAAAACTTGTGTCCAGCATCCTTGTTCTCTGCCCGTTTGAAGGTAGTGTGAGAGCGAGTCAAGTGCTTTCTTGGTGGTGTGCTGCGGACCTGGCGGTAGACTTTCTCCCAAAACAGATCTGCGTCTTATAGACCGCAGCTGTTAGACCGGTCACCAATGCTGATCGAGACCAAACCAGGCAATCGTCAAAGACAAATCCGCTACAGGCATTAAATTTCCAATTCTTCAGGAAAGTCATGTGTTATAATTATTTTACACACGTATTCTAGCACTAATATTGGAAAAAAACAGTTTACTAAATATGTACATTGTACTGATTGCCTTTCACCACGAGGAACTAAAGCACCCAAGACACCGTGCCCAAACACCACTATATCTTATATGTCATAGGCTGTTATTGTCATTAGCATATTCTATGGAGTTTGTTGGGTCTTGATGAGACTCAGTATACATATTTGTAGACTATGCATGGCCTCACGATCCCTTTGGTGTAAACGAAAGGGGTGTGGGCTGAGCAATCGTTGAATTCTTAATGAGGCTGTTGGTCTAGAGGATATGAGACAATTGCAGCACTGAGCATACTTGGAAAAGGCCTAGTTCACGTTACCGGCAAATCCAACAATATCTCCCGTATGCCTTTACAAACACCCAACACAAACGTTTGCATCATACTTCACTTGTGTCACTGTTATTGTAATTATTGGGTATAATTAAATCGGATTTACGTTTCTCTTTTACGGAGGCAGAATATACCTTAGGCATGAACAAATCTCAGCGTCTATCAGTGAAGGCTGGGCTCCTGCCTGTGCTGCACATCTGAATTGTACTGGTAGATGGATGCCAAAGAGGTGGGTTTCAACGAGAAACAAGACAGCCAACTTTACACTACAACGCATACAACGCTGTGATAACGAGAATGCGGGAATAGAAGCATATGTTGTAACGACTGTGCGTGGGAATAAAAACCAAAAGCAGAGACTAAGCCATAAATCAAAGACAAAGCCCACTCTAAAGACAAAGTCCAAGAGCCCAAACACCGGAAAGCCGCGTCGGCAGCGGACATTGTTCACTGTCATCTTATTTTAGATTTGGTATAAAAAATGAGTCTTTGGGAAACTCTTGATGAAACTACCATTTTGTTAGGGTCAGTTATATTTTATCTAGGATTTTTTTTACGTGGAGGTTAAATTGAAGCAGATACCTGGTTTGATCTGCGTACTTTGTTGAATATTATTAGGGGGACGAACGAAACACAACAGGCAATCCGGAACCCAGTTCGTTAATTTTCTTATTGCAGCTAGTTCGTATAAGAAACTCTGGCCTTGCCAGGTGTCTTTAATTCATTATTTTGAGCGTTTGGAGAGCTTGTGTCTCTACACTGATCGGCGGCTGTTTTAAAACCAGTTTAAAATAAAAGAAAAATCTAGCAGACCGTGCTTTAGCAAGGGTGACCTCACAGTTGTAATTCTAAGACATGAATATTCATATTGTGTAGCTAATCTACATTGCATCTTGGTTATTTGCATGTTTGTATGTCAAGTAATTGTTACTTGGTTACCTTTGTGCTTCCCGCGCACAAGGACTGGTTGTACTTGGTTGACATCCACCAGGAAAATAAGTCCAAAGATTATTTTAGACAACTGACTGAATTTATCGAAATTATTGTCATGTACAATAATAACCCCTTGTATTATGTGATACTTTGGTGACGTGTTAATTGAAGCTCACGTTTATTTACTTGGTAAGTAACTCTTTGCGTATGAAAACAAATAGGACAGTACAAGAGACGGTCAAAGACTTTGGGTTGGCCGTGGAGCTCCAGTTTAAGAGGTACGTGAAGAGCATGGGTATATTTTGATGTCAGTAGCACCCATTTTTATGTCTGTGTAGGCATAGTCTCGTGGCGAATTTGTAGTACAGTCTACATAGAAACCCTCAGTGAGTACATGCACTTCTTGATGCTTAAGGACATTGCCGTTCACTTTTAAGTATCCTATGTAAGCAACGATACACATGTCTGCTGTAGTCTGTTAATGTACTGTACATGTACAGTGTGTGTATATAGATACGGGCTAATCATTGGAAGCTCTCATTACTTTGTTATTTCAGGCAATGGGTTTTTTGTCACTCCAGGATCTAGATTGTTAGGATGCCTGTGGCAGTTGCTGGTCACCA